GGGGTTTACAACTGAGCAACAGGAGTTGGTCTTAGGCCTAACAAAACCAATGAGCAAAACAAACTCAGAACAACCAAACATATAAATTTCCTTTCATAAGCCTCAGCCTCAGCAAAACTTTTTGACTCATCTATGACTGACTGTAATTTTGTGGCTTTATCCTCATCTTTCTTTATTCATTCTGGTGGGGCAAAATCTTACCATACAAAATCCTTCCTGTCCCAGCAGATTTTAACCTCCATGGGCTAGTTATGGATGATGTTTGTTGCAAAGGTCACCTGACTTGTGTGACCTCAAAGAAAAGTTTAGTCCCTCAGTGGGGCTGTCCTTCAGGCAGAGGGCTAAGGAGGGGTGGAAGGACAAAGAAATGAAGATGGCAAAAGACAATCCAGGGGAGCCCTTGTTAAGATGTGATTTTCAATGTACTAATAGATTGACTTAATACTTAAGAGTTTGCACATGTATTTTCGTAAATGAAATGTCCTTGTCTGGCTTTAGAGTCAAGATTATAGTAGCTCCTCAACTGGACAACAATTATTGTACTTTATGGAAAGTCTTGTGTGAGATAAAAGTTTTGATATTTTTTTCTACTTAGCGATCACTTCACACTTCTATTTTTTATGTTTTTAAATTATTTAACTTAAATTGCTTACAACTTTATTAAGTTGCTCATAATTCCCTTGTTTGGCTAATCTCTGCTCTACTTATCACTTGTACATGTAATCCATCTTTTCAGAGAGATTATTTTGATTTAATTTGTTCTATTTTTCTTCTTTAATTTCTGTTCTTATTTTCAAGCTTTGTTTCATTGGGCTTGTTCTGTTGTTTTTGTTCTAGATTTTATTTGAACACTGATTTTATTATCTTTCTTGCTTCCTTCTAAAATATTTAAAGCTAACACCAGGTATGGTGGCACATTCCTATAATCCCATCACTCAAGAGGCTGGGGCAGGAGGATTTCCTCAAGTTTGAGGCCAGCTTGGGCTACATACTGGTAATGAGTTCAAAACTAACGTAAACTACATAGTGAGACCCTGTCTCAGAAGTAAATAAATAAATAAATATTTAAAGCTATACATTTTCCTCTGTGTTGCTTTAGCTGTTTCCCACAAAACTTGATATGTAGTATTTTAATTAGCATTCAGTTATAAATATTTCTTAATCTCTTTTATATTTTTCTTTGATAAACGGAAATGTCCTGGAGTTATTTGGTTTCCAAATATATGGGATTTTAATCTATTCTTTTATTATTAATCTCTTCAATTAATTTTAACTGGAGACTAAATTCTGTAATTTACGTATTTGTCCTGTAGAATTTACTAAAGTTTCCTATATTATCTGATGAATTGTCTTTTTTGTAAGTGCATTATGTATGGTCACAAATAATATGTATTCTGTACTTGTTGGATATACAGTTATATGCATAGCCTATTGTATTTTTTAGAGCTTTGGTGTCTCTGCCCACTTTTTATTGATCCATCAGATTCCAAAAAGGTGTACTAGGATCCTACTAAATCAGTGATGTGCTATTTTCTTGCACATCTGTCAAGTGCTGCCCTATTGGCCTAAATTGTAAGTTTTACACTTGTTTATATGTACTGTCCTATTCTTTTACCAAATACTGTCTTCCTTTTTAGCCTATAGACTATTTCTTGCCTTATGATCTATGTAGTAAAATATTGTTATCTAACTTTTTAATGTGGAGTTCTTCAAAATTTCTTTTTGTGTTTTTTTTTTCTTACTTTACATCTATTTTAGAATTATGTCTTGAAGGACACAGATCGTGGACTTTGTTTTCTTGTAATCCAGTCAGTGTCTGCTTGTTCTGTATTACTGATTTTAGTTAGCTTTGTAGGTTGTTATTTTCAGATAGTTGCAGCTATGTCATTGCTTTTGCTTCAGTTTTACCTCTCTGTCCTGCTCTCCGTGGAGTAGATTAAGTTTTCTTCTGTGTTGTCCTCTCCAAACTGAAGACTTCATCCATCGTGATCTACTCCTATTGATGTATTAAACTTATTCAACATTTACATTTTCCCTTTAAAGACAGATGCACATATTCTTTAGTCTTTCCTATACTTCTCCTCCAATTATTTTCATGCTATGTAGAATTTTAGTTTCTGAATATTATGGAAATATTTTCTCCTTTTTTTTGGACTTTTATATATATGCACATACACACATGTGCACACACACGTTCACACAAAAAATAGTAAATGAATATTTTATCAAACTGGCTCTTCCTATGTTTTGTGGCTCCATTCATTCCTCTTTTTGAGTACTTCTTCTAAAAGTTTCTTCAGAGTAGACTTTTGTGTAACAAACCTTATGAAGACTTTAATACGGTAGACTAATTTTGGTATGCCCTATTTAAATGACAATTTGGTTATGTCGTTCTCAGTTTAAGTTCTTTTAGTAATTCGCTATTCCATGCTGTAGGAATGAAACATACCATTTTCCTCTTGCTCTAAGCTCATGGAAGGCCACATCATTCTGATGTTTCTTTGTGGTCCTACTTACTTTCTGCAGATCCTTTTAAAGATTTCATTTTGTCTTTGACATTCACAGTCTCACTGTGAATTCTGAGGCCATGAGTTTTGTTGCTCCTTTAGCCCATTTGAGAGAGTAGTCTTTTCAGTTGTCTACTTTAGCAACAATAGATCTTGTGTGACTTTTCTATGTGATTGAATGAGTTGGATTTTGTTCAAATAATAATTTGCCTGTCTGAATGCTGATCTAACCAACCTTAGCTCTTTTCTCAGTACTTCCATGGGCTTTAGATTTTGTAGATATTTCCTTGTTTCCCTAATGAAAATAAATGAAATACATGTGTATATTTTCCGTTTTGCTCTGTAAGGTTTCCACAAAAAATACAGTCGATATTTGTCTTCCAAGTGCTGCCAAAAAATGTCATTTGACATGTTTTGATTTCTCTGTCATACATCTAACACCCTTCTATGTCTTCCAGGCAGGACCTGCAAATGCCCCATTAATTTTCCTCTAGTTATGTTTTAGGTGCTCTTGTCCTACCTTCAACAATTTTCAAGTCTCCGCTAAGGAAATGGCATTTCCATTTTAATAGCACTGTGTGCTCGGTGGGTTTGCTTCTGTGCCCAGTCCATTGGGTACTCACCCTTTCATCAGTCAGACAAGCCAGGCTGTGGCAGTCTGAGCTTTCACAAGCTTAGCATTCTACACAAACAGCATTTTATTCAGCAACTTACCTTGTTTATATGATTTTGTGTTAAGAAAATGTGCAAGTTATCAGCCATTTAATAATTGGTTACTTACTAAATTGTAATATATGGCTCAAAGAAATGTCACAAACATCATAAAGTTATGATGGTTTTAATATTAAATTTGATGTAATCCCATCTTTAATATTGCAGTTTTGCCTGCCTAGTGACCAGCCGTGTATAGCATAGCCCATGGCAATATACCTTATTAAACAATATTCTATCGGTGTGCTGTTTACATTATTTATTTAAGATACAATGTCCAAATTAAGTTTGATAGGCCATTGTGATCTTTCTAACTTATCCTCTGATCTGTCTCCAACAATATCCAGTGTACCTAAATGTAGGAGACATTAACTCAGAGCAAGAGATTAGCTGAGAACTGCTGAAAACACATCCTAGAGTAAGAGCTGCATATCATTTGCATATCAGTTGACTCCAAGGAATACCATATATCCTTGAATACTATACAGTAACATTGTGATTTTATTTTAAAACCTTCCAGAGTTAAAAACTTAATAAAACACATGACCGAAAAGCTTGATTGGTCTGAATATCAGCTCTGTAATTATCCTGACTGTGCTGACCTTCTGTGTACCCCATGTGAGTCTTAATTCCACACACTGTGGCTTCTTGCTTGCAACCCAGCAGTATCTAGGTTTGTGTACTAACTGGAAAATGTTAGCAGCCTTTGCATCCACAACTGCTCAGTTCAGCCCCATGTAGGCATTCTCATCAGCTGTTTAAAAGCCCTCACAGCTGAGTGTGCCCTGCACTCTGGCCTTTCCCCCATTGCTCAGAGCAGTAATCTTCTTTCAGGGGCCCGTGTGTTGTCTCACAGCAGGGACCAGTGGATAGGAAGGATAAACCCTGTGTTTGGGTAAATATAGTTACCACTGAATGCACACTGAAATGAGCTTTCTTCGAGAGGGAAGCGTAGATGCCCTTATAATTTTTTCACTAGAATATTTAATATCTTTTCATGCTATAATTACTTCTTGCATATTTTAATGTGTAAGTTCATTGTGCTTTCAATCTTATCCGTTTTATTTGCTGTCTTAGGTTATTCTTGATATTAAACATTAAAATAATCATTGCAAAGTTGAAAACCTACTTCAATGGTAATTAGAATTACAAAAAGTAGAGCCTTTTACATTTTTTAAATGTGGGGGATAATTAGTTGTACTGTCTAATTCTTAACAGCTAATTCTTAAATATATCTTAAAGAAGATACTTTTTCTGTTGGTTTTTTTGTTTTAGGCTTTTGTTTTTCTGAGACAGTGACTCACTCTGTAGTTTAGGCTGGCCTTAAACTCACTATGTACCTCAGGCTGGCCTCAAACTCTTGGAGACGCTCCTGCCTCAGCCTCCCAAGTGCTAAGATTACAGGTGTGTGCCACCTTACCCACCTACAAAGCAAATGTTCTTAATCTGGGGGAAGTTTTATGAATTTGTCTGTAAACATAAAATTTTAATGTATTATATTTTCCTGTAGAGAATAATAGTTTTTATTACTCTTGGAAATAGAAGTTAGATAACTAAAATTTTAAAACCTCTGTCTTAAAGCATAATAACTGATACTAGTCAAGAGAGATTTTGGAAGAGTAACGTTTAAGGGCTTTGGCCAAGGATGAAGCTCGGTGGCAGAGTGGTTGCTTAGTATGTGCGAGGCCCTACGTTCAGTGCCCAGCACCACACTCACACATATACATGCACACAAGTTCAGTTTGCAGTGCATTTTAACTTAGTGTATTTATTTCCTTTTAGAAAGCAATATATATGGCAACAGAACAATTGGGCTTACAACATTGGCCACCTCAGAAAGAAAAGATAATACAATTTCATAATCAACTTCACGTGAGTATATAATGGCACCTTAGTGATTCTTTGCCTGGGTTTCAATAGGTAAGATGGAGGAACATGATAACAACAGACAGCTATCTTCAAGTAGAGTGGCTTATTTATTTCCCTAGACTTTATTACTTGATCCCTTACCTTAACTCCCAACAAATTAATCCTTTCACCTTCATTCCCTTAACACGTTTGTAAAAAGACCTACAAACGTAGTGTAAGATACTCTGCATTCCTTTACTTAAGAAATCAGACAGTTCCTACAATTAAATGACAGTAACAATACAACATAACAGAATCTGTGGGACACAAAGCAGTCTCACCAGAGAAATTCATAGCAGTGAATTATCATATTAGGAAAACAGAGTGAGCTCAATTAAACAACCTGATGTTGAACCTCAAGCTTGTAGAAAAAGAAGAGCAGGACAATCCCAAAAGACAAGGGAGAAAATTATAAAGGTTGGGGCAAAAATTAATGCAATAGAGACTAAGAGAACAATACAAAAAATCAATAAAGCCAAGAGTTGGTTCTTTGAAAGAATAAACAAAATTGACACTTAGCCAACCTTATCAAAAAAAAAAAAAAAGGAAAGAAAAGGCCCAAATCCATGCAATTAGGAATGAAAAGGGTGAAATTGCAATGAACCCAACAGAAATCCAGAGGATCATCAATACCTACTTCAAGAACCTATACACCAGTAAGATGGAAAATCAGAAGAAATGGACAGATTCCTAGATATGTATGAATTACCAAAGTTGAATGAAGATGGCCTAAAATTTCTAAACAACCTAAAATCAATCAATGAAATCAAAAACATAATTAAAAATTTACCAACTAAGAAAAGTCCAGGTCCTGAAGGCTTCACTGCTGAATTCTACAAGACATTTAGAGAGGAACTACTGTTACTACCGTTTAAACTCTTCAATGAAATTGAAAGGGAAGCAATACTCCCAAATTCATTCCTGGAAGCAAGCATCACCTTGATCCCCAAAGCAGAGAAAGTCCTAATTGAAAAAGAGAACTATAAGTCAATTTCACTAATGAACATAAATGCAAAAAATCATTACCTTATTTGAATTTTCTGTTTTTCATAAATGAACCATTTAGAAAAACACTAGAATGTGCATAGTATTAATTACATGTAAGGTATTAGGTAAAGATGTATTTTTCCCCAAATAAGTAGAAGCTGTTTTTTGGGTTTTTTTTTTTTTTTTTTTTTTTTTTTTTTTTTTTTTTTGTACTGGGGATTGAACTCAGATCCATTGCATTTGCAAGGCAGGTGGCAGAACCACTGAGCTAAATCCCCAGCCCCTTTTCCCGAATGAATAACCAAGTCTCCCAAGACTTTTCCTCAGTGATTTTCCATTCCTATAGTACATTAAGTGTTTGTCTTTAAGAGGATTGAGTTTTTTATTTCTTCTGTAGTAAGTTCTTTGGTCTATTTCTCTGTCTTTGTGCCTATCATAGCTTTATAACACATCTTTATACCTGGTGGTATCAGTCACCTGTCTTTGCTCTTTTTAAATTTTCCTTGGCTATTTTTTGGCTCTTTCTCTTTAGAATCAGCCTGTTGACATTTATCAAAAAATCCCGTTCAGATTTTTAGATAGAGTTGACCAGTAATTACTGGGAGCGTTTTCATCTTTATATTACATCTTTTCTCCCATATATGTATTTATCAAGCTTTTATGCTGCTTGTCAAGTTAACCCACCACAGATTCATAGTGGAAGAAAATACTAGACTCCTGAGTTAGAGACAAAGGACATTTTCCTACTTACAACAATAGTAGTAGCCAGAATAACGTCATTTGCACCGATTCTGCGAGGCTGAATTCCCACTGAGTAATACAAGGTCTATGCACATATGGTAAGGTGTATTACAGGAGAACCCTGAGCATAGGAACCCTCAGATCTTAGGAGGTTACTAGCAGCAAATACCCATCTTTTGTCCCTGAAGTACATATATTTTTAAATTCTGAGTAGCAAATGAAGTTGTCCTCAGCTAGAGCTGTAGTTCTGAGATACAGTGTGTGTTTAACATGTACAAAGCCCTAGGCTTACGCCCTAAATAAATAGATAAATCTGTCTTCTGTCCCGATAAGAAACTATCTCTGCCTTCCAAAAATTCTTGCTGTACAATCATCTTGGAAAAAGTAGTCCTGAACAGAGTTACTAATGCCCTTACTCAGAAGGTCTGTGGGAGCGTCAGAGACCATACGGAATTGTGGGAATATTGGAGATGATAAAGAATTATACCTCCCAGCCTGGTTTATCCCTTGTCTTGGCTTCTGGTGAATTTCCCCATGAGCTCACTATTCTGTTGTCCACTCTGATTAATCTTACTGACAGAGATAAACCCAAAAAATGCATTCATTTTATCTCACATGAGACTTAACTAAGGCTTCTGTCACCAGAATATCAAGTAGCAGAAGAAGGCCAACCATCCGAGGTCCTAGGCCCAAACAGCCAAACTAATGCCATAAGCATCAGAATCTGCCTTGGAAGCCAGATTAATTTCTCCTTAAGATCCCAAATTGCCCATTCCTGATTATCTGTGCAGCAGTAATCCATGGTTAGCAAGATTTATTAGAACTGTACAGATTTTTGCTTCAACCCTGGAAGAAAAAGTATCTACTGCAATTCTGTCATCTATAGCAACACTGACCTGATAAAATTGTTCTGAATGCCTTCAAGGTCAGGGTGATGTTTCCTTAAATACTGGAGGTTTAACATTCTTATAACTACCCCAAAGATACAACCGCATTGTTTTTAGGAAGAAAGCAGTTTAAAGTCTGGCTTTTTTTACATAAGAAATACAATTTTAAGGGTCACTTGGTTTGCTCAGGAGAAGTTTCAGTTTTGCGAGTCTCTTAAAAGGGACTTACGTCAGCTCATGATGAGGAGTGATCCTTGTTGACAGTTCGTCCAACGTGGTCCTCAGGTCAGTACTGGAAACTCAGTCTAGGTCTTGTTTCCAGTGACTGCTTGCGAATGGTCAGCCCAACCTGGCCTGCAGGCCATGCTGTCAGGTAGAGGCCATCTCTCTGTCTCTTAGATGAGCGGGCTCTGGAAATGGAAGTGCAGAGGAGATGGGGGAGCCATCTTGAGGTGTTGGCGGGTGTTTTGCTTACGAAATGCAGAAGCAGAGTTCATTCCTGCTGTTTCTGATAGATTCTCAGTAAGGTTAAGCAGAATAGTCATCAGATCCTATCAGTTCCAAAAAGTTAGTTAAATTAAAGGCTCCCTTGATAGTATGGGTATTTTTGTTTTTAAGAAGGCTAGAGGGACAGGTATGATAGACAAAGTATCTTCAATATCCCTTCCTGCTCACTGATCTTTCGAGAATCAGAGGTAGGATGTCATAGACTATAACGAAATTGCCTCTGAACAAAGAAGCCAAGGTACTCCTGGGCCATGTTGCCACAGAACCGGTGTGTCCCATTTCAGTAGCTTTAACCATAGTTACTTTTCAGACATCCCCTACTTAAAACTAGACCTCTTATCCTGAAAGCCTGGGTACAAGAGGGACAAGGATGTTTAATAAAACTTTCAGAGAACCATTGTGGCCCCCACTTTGGCCTGCTTGGGCTGCTGTGGAAGGGCTCAGCTGGCAGCATGCTCAGCCAAGTTGTCACTATCCTTCAATCTGTGAAAGATTTTGTGTAGTTGAACCATAATTAACTTTGAATCTGCTGGGCCTCATTTTGGTCAGGCTACAACCTGGAATGTGAACCAGATTGGCCTCGGGTTGTCATCAGGGAAAAGAAAGAAACACCATGCCCAAGAAAGGCTGGGGCTAATCCCAAAATTTCAAAGTGTGTTTATATAATCCCCTTTCTCTTACACTAACATTTCCCAGAAACAGATGAAAGGAAGTGATCTTTTCTTGGGCACATGTATATCCAATCAAACTTGCTTATAAAGTATATGGGCAACAAAAGAGAGAGACACTCAGAAATCTTTGAGATAATTTTTGAGGAGTCTGTATCAATGATCAATACAATTAGATATTTATGGATTGTTAGGAATGTGAAAGGTTCATCATATACCTTGATCATCTATACGGTGCTCACTTTTGGGATAAAATGTATACCACTGTTGGGCTACAGATGGTCCAGAAGTTCACACATGTGATGCAAATTAACTTCAGAAGACACTGGTGTGGCTGGAGGGACTGACTGGATTGGAATAGCACTCTAACTGAATAATTTCAATCATCAGTATCCCTTAAGCTATGAAGATGTAATGTAGTCAACTTTCCAGCAGTCTCTTGGATTCATGCCCAGTTCACTGTGGCTTCCCTCTCTGCGAGATAACTATATCAATTCTGGGCAAGAGTCTGAAATGCACTAGTGCGTTGTGCATCAGAAACATACAGTCTTTTACTTTGTCTATGAAGACAGTGTCTTAAGATGTCTTGACATATTGTCAGGTCCAGTATGATATTGTATCCCTATAACAATCTTAGTAATCTGGGCTGGGGAGATTGTCTTAGTCACTCTCCTCATTTCTGGACAAAATACCTGACACCTGCAACTTAAAGGAAGAGAGGTTTATTTTGGCTCACAGTTCAGAAGTTTCAGTCCTTGCATGGTCAGTCAGGAAATCTGCTCACATCATCACGGTCAGGGAGCATAGAGGGAAAGGAGCAGCCAGGACGGGAGACATGCCTTCCAGGTGCTGCACTCAGTTACCTGCCTCCGCTGACCAGAACCCACCTCCTGAGTGGTGGAATTCGAGGTATGTGCCTCCAGCCTGCCAGACCAGCCCCCATCGCCTAACAGGACGTCAGCTGGAGTGCCCACATGATTCAACCACATTCTATAAGCCCGAGCCACAAGCACATGAGCCCTTTGGGGAATATTTTCCATCAAAAACCCTAACACAGACTGAATTAGCAGCTTGATTCTGGGCAATCTTACGAGCCAATGGGTGAATCAGTTTGGTCTGCAGCCATCATTTCCACACTCCCCAGTCCCAAGGCCTCCTTTGAAGTTCCAAATGGTTAAAAAACTCCAAACAAACAAAACAAAACGAGAAAACCTCTGAGGAAACCAGACCCGGACACTTTACTCAGGGAATCTTTGTGAATCAAGCATTAGTCCAGGAGGTTAATTGTAGAAGGAGGTTTACCTCAGAGGGACCACTGCCACCCTTTCATGACCCACCAGTGCCAAGCCAGCTGTGTTCTCAAATAGTCCATTTCCATTTGATGAGAAAGGCCTTTTGGACTCTTCTCACCTTGTTGGATGTTGAGTCTCCAGCTCTCAGGTCAGAGAATTACAAGAGACCTCTGTGAAGATAGAGATTATAAAGGTAGTGAAAACCTATGTTGGCTTCATCCATATTTCAGTGTAATGCATTTACACAAACATATATTACTTTACAGGTAATAACTTCCTTAATGCTGTTCCAACCATCTAGGAGAGACTTGACTGTGTCTTAGTCTTCTCAGGCTTCTCTAACAGAAATACCAGGCTGGTGGCGTAAAAATGCACATCGAGGAGGCATTAGAGCCTAGGTCATAGTTAAAGCCCAAATTGATGTGACTGAATAGGAGCAATGTGGGCGAGAAAGGAACAAGAGTGAATGAGGGAAGTCTAACAAGGAAAGGAGAAAGAAAAGATAGAAGAGAAAGTTCTGATGAGTTGTGATAGTGAACCCCATAGTAAAGAAAGATACAAGAAAGGAGGAAAAGTGGAAAGTCAGATGATAAACTGTTTAATATCAAAAGTTGAAAATTAATCTTTGAATTTTAAAATTAGGTGATGAGTTAATATAATATATGAGAAGGGCTTTAAAATAAGTGAGGATCTTGAACAATAAAATAAGAAAATGAGGAAAAGCTATGCACACAAATATTAGTGAACTAATAGAACAAATACAAATTGCTAACAGACATGTGAAAAGATGCCCAGCCTGACTACTAACAAAAATAAGCATATTTTTTCCTCACCAGATCTTCAAAACCTGAGACTATAAATAGTGAGTACATTTAGTATAAGCAAGGATGACAAAACATTCATTCTCACACCTCTTTTGGTAGGATTGTCATTGCCACAAATTTTGGGGAAGAAACCTAATAAAATTTATTTTAATTAAGATAACATATATATAATCTTGACCCACAGTCCTGAATTAAAAAAAAAAATGTCTGTCTCAAGGGCAGCGGGGAAGAACCAAGGCATACTAACTTATGTCCGAGGATAATAGCTTCAGGCTTTTGTAATGGGAATGGTAGTGGAAATGGCCAGGCACTGGCTGACCTTCTGAGAAGGCCGGTGACCAGCAGTAGCTGACCTAACCTCTCTCTTCAGAGCTCACAGAGGCCCCCGCATATCCTTACTCCTTCTGGCATTCTCCCTACTCCTCTTGGTGGTAAAGACAATGCCAGCCAGCTGATGATATGCCAGCCAGTTTTGTTGGGAAAAAGAATAAGTCCACCCCCACATAATTAAGTTAACCATATGAATTGTTAAGAATTTCTCAAAGGTAATGAACAACTTTATTAGAATTTTCTGTGGTACATATTAAATGGAAGTCCCTGGGCTTTCTTCCAAATCTCTTCAGCTAGAATCTTCAAGGATGAGGTCTTAGAATGTGCTATTTAACAAACTCTAGGTAATTCTTATGTACCTTAAAATTTGAGAATTGATAACATAGAAGGTATGGAAAATATGTACCAAAATATATGCTGCCAAATGTCCCTGGTGGTTGTCTATAGCTGATGGAAATTCCAAGAACTTTTGTTGTCTTCCTTGTGCTTTTTTATATTGTTCAAATATTATACAACAAACGTACTATCTTTGCAGGGGAAAAAAACTAATATGAAGTAATTTTCCTGAAATAAATATGCTGTAAGTAGTTATAGGTAAGTTATGGTCTACTAGTTGTGTGTTGGCTTTTTCATCCACAGAACTTGTGCTATTCATATTTTTATCTCTCAAGAAAGCATATTAAAATATCATTCACTGTGGTTGGAAAATATTATCAAAAATTTTAAATTTTATTGATTACATATTTTAGGCTTTCCAACTTGATGGTTCTGATACAGTAGATATTGATGAAAGTATGTTTGCGAAGGAAGCAGAGAAAGATGTTAAAATTCCAGAAAATCATAGTAAGTATTATTAAATTCCCAAAAGATTATGAATTAATATAGAAAACAAACTTTGAGCCAAAAGAGCTATATCTATACCTTAAATACAATTTTTTATTGTTGATAGTTGGTCTGACACAATTCTTTTTCTCATGTATTTATTTAAAGTTTGTATACATTACTATATATTACAGTATTGACTGTTATTATGATATATAAATTCTAGAGTTTAAATAGCTTTTTGAGTTATAAATGCCCATTAGTCTCTCATGAGGACCATTCGGTAGAAATAAACGATGCTTTCAGAAGCAGCAGTGGCAACCTGCAATAGCATTGCCCATGTTGTTAAGCATTTGTCCAAACCCCAGAATTCACAGCACCAGAAGTGACCCATGGGGAGTCATGGCTTTAGGAGATGATGTGTCACTGCTGTCCAACCATCAGGAGGGCAGGGTGCTAGTGATGGGGCGTGTTGGCTTGTGAGGGCAAGAGATTCACAGGAAATCTCTACACTTTCTTCTCTATTTTACTGTCAACATAAACCTGACCTATAGGTGAATTCTACAAAATGGAAATGACAGAAACATTCTGGGAGATATTTAGGTCATTTTTTAGAAATTAAACATAGCATTGTCATATGATTGAATTTTGCTTATGGCTAATTATCCAGTTGATTTGAAATATGTGTCCACACAAATAACTTCTGACCATTGCTTATGATGACCTTATTCCTTGGAAGGCTTCTCTACTCTGTATTTTGTATAGAGGGTGACTGTGATGTGGACATTTTACCAAAAAATTAGTTTGCATACTTGTTCCTATTATACCTATCCTCAATTATTTCACCCAATTTTTAAAAGTTTGTTTATTTTTAATTGAAAAAGAATCAAGAGATCATCACAAAGTTCTTCCAGCTTATCAAGTGCCTAGCAAATAAAGTGCCCACCCAACAAAAGTGGCAGGCATTTTGCAATACATTATCTCAGTGAAGCCTTACAGAACACTGTAACATTCACACCATTCCAGAATAGGAGCTGGTAGTTTGCAGAAGTTAATTAGGTTGGTTAAGCATTCATATAGACATTGTGTACATTTTTAAACAATTTCTTCCTATTTAACAATATCTATTATACATTTTGATAGACTCTAAACTTTGTCTAAACTTTGTGGTAGACACTAAACTTTATTCAAGTGTAGATTCTTCTTTGGAGGTCAACTCTTCCTTTTGCTATTTGCCAGAGACAGCATATCTAAAACTTATTCATGAGTGGAGGGGAAAACTCACAGACAATATTAGTATGAAAAAGATAAAACATGAAATAAGTCAATTTTAAGGATTACTTATCCAGTTCCACTAAGAATTTCTAAACAGTGCTTAAAGAGCTATAAATATACAATATGTGTATTCACTTTTAATAAATGCTAGAAACTAACATTATTGTAGTGTTGTCTAGGATATCATTTTTATCTTAGAAAATATTCTGCAAATAAAAATAGAAAATTTGCAAGATTGTAATAAAAGAAATCTGAATTTACACTCAGCTACATTAAAATACTTTTCTCTGCAGATTTTGATTGGCAGTGGATTATCTTTGATGGTCCAGTGGACACTTTGTGGGTAGAAAATCTAAACTCTGTGCTAGATGACACCAGAACACTGTGCCTAGCAAACAGTGAGAGAATACCATTAACTGATAAAATGTGAGTGATTTTTGAAGTGGATATTCTCACCCAGGCCAGTCCTGCTACTATGAGTTGGTGTGCGATGGTGTATATGGTAAGTTTCAAAAACAAATTTCTTAACAAGGAAAATTGTGTAGGATAGTAGCTAGCCTTGATGTACAGCATTGTAATGTTTGTTGGTTTGTTTTTACTCCTGGGTCTAGCAGTGGTCCCAATGGTTCAGGAGCTTTATGTCCCCAAAGCCTCACATTCCACCAAAAAAAAAAAAAAAAAAAAAAAAAAA